CTTTTCTTAAGCCCCAGACATTCAGCATGCGTATGGTCAATGGGAAACTGTTTTAGCATATCAATATTCAATGCCTCAAATGGTGAGTCACCTATGTGTTGCTTCCCTTGGCGCCCCGAACGAAAGTTCGCATCCGACCTGAGACTGTTTCGTCGATGGAGAATATAAGCGCCCATTTCCAACAACGCTTTGCAAGTACAATGACAGCAGCTGTAGTAACCACTATACTGTTTTACTTGCTTTACAAAGCTCTTTGCTGGAGCATCCGCGATGACGCTGGGCAGGATCACCCTGAGCGTTGTATCGGTTTTCTTCAAGCGTATGCTGCTTCTGGTCAGTACACTTAACTCCGTCATGGTATCTGACAAGTAATCGTGCACGTCACCGGGCTTAGACATACCACAATACATCTCAGTAAGAAGTTCATGCGATAAAGGTGTTAAAGTGTGTCCGAGAATCGGTTAAATGGTAGGGTTCCTGAAGGGAGACAAACCGTCAATGTGTAGCCTCAGCTTAATGACTGCAGCTTCCCTGGATTCAATAGCTTCCATAACACGTTGTATGCAATCTTCGAGGCCGAAATGAATGTAGCTACCTCCGATGACTTTTGTCTTTGTCCGAGGATCTTCAGGGGCATCATGATTAGGTAACCTCAAACCATTTAACAAAGTCGCAATGCCTTTCATGGTCAGTTCATCTTCAATGGTTATCGGTCTTGCAATGGACCTTGCGGAAACCAGTAGGTAAATCTTAATGTCGGAATCATGAGAATTCCTGTTAATTTCTACGGCACATTTGACACTGAACACAACAAAAGATGACCTTCAAGCCTCTCATAATATCTGCTTAAACGGGTAGCAACCGATTTGCTAATCTTCGGCGGCAACATACAGCTTTTGGAGGGCACGGGCATACACTTTTCAAGGATAAGCTTGATGGTTAATTTACTCACTCATTTAGTGTTGAGAAATCAGACCTATTTTGGACTGTGTTCCCAGTAGAAGCACTTATGACATTACCTGCTCCAAGGCAGTACCCTAGACTTGAAAAGTGCCTACTATCAAAAAACCATCCCAACAGAAGAAAGGAAGTACACCACCTTTGAGGCTTTTGGGAAGCTGTATCAGTGTCGCCGAATCTCATTCAGAGTGACCAGTGGTGTAGCTTATTTCCAGCGAACTCTAAATGATATAATCAACAAGGAACAACTATCTGGCACTTACACCTACGTGGAAAACGTAATAATCTGTGGTATGGATGTTGCGGGACATGATCGAAATCTGCAGAAATTTTTAGATGTGGTTAATAGATACGGTCTCAAAGTTAACGAAGCTGAGTATCACGTCTGTGAGACAAATAAACATTTTGGGTTTCGGAGTTTGTCTAAACAGTCCCACAGAGCACATTTCACATAGAACAAGGAGTGGCGAACAAGCTCGTTTTCAGTTATTCGTAATCATGCCGAATACATCACAGTATATATTACGCTGTTTCTAAGGGAGCTGTTAGACCTGATCCTGGACGACTCAAACCCTTGAGGGACCTGCCGCCGCCTAGAAATTGAAAGAGCGGGGGTGCGCATTAAGTATGTTTGCGTATTACTCACAATGAATTTTTTTATTACACACTTTTGTGTGATGAACAGCAGACGGGGAAAGCCCCATAATCACGAGGACCTGCTGTTCAGTGATGGAAACCGGTAACCTAAGCCCCGCGAGACTTGGAGTGCTGAAAAATATAAGGCCCCGATAGGTTAGAAGGGGTATTGAGCCGGAGGACAGCACAGCGGCCTATCACCAAAGTCGGGTGGCGGTGGTGGTGGGGCTCGAAACTCGGACCATAGGGTCCTGTGGCAGCTACTAAACCACTTCACCACCACCACCCACATACTTTTCAGACAAGATCAACCTGGTGGTCCAAATTCGACCACTCCCACTGTCTGAACCCGTCATATAATCCTTCAAAAAATTAAAGTAAGAACTCAAAAGCGTGACGGTAGTCATTGTGCAGCCCGGAACGACTCTTGTTGTCGAGACAGATGCCTCAGATGTTGCCATCGCTGCCCCCCCCCCACAACCAAAGTGGTAGACCGGGGAAGTTTGTGTCTGGAACACTAACACTTACCGAAAGGCATCATTCTGCGGTTGAAGAAGCTTAGGTTATAGTGGAAGCACTGAAAAAATGGAGACATTGTCCGCTGGGAAACCATTTCAAGTTAGTCACCGACCAACGATCAGTTGCATTCATGTTCAATAGCTAGCCTAAAGGCAAAAGAAAAAAGAAGACGTTTGGCGCTGGAGAGTTGAACGATCATGCAACCGGTACGGTACCATCTACCGACCGGGAGGTGACAAGTTAGCGGTCGACAAGTTTTAACGAGGCTATTGCACAGCCGCTATAGATCCTAACGTGCTAAGGGAGTTACACGAGGCACTTTGTCATTCAGCGATTACCCCGTATGCATCACATCGTCCGATCTTGGAACTTACCGTATTCCGTGGATGAGGTCTGACACGTAATTCCCCAGTGTGAAGTATGTACCCAGATTAAACCCAGGTTCTACAAACCAGTGAACAAACCATTAATCACGGTGACTCAACCGTTCGAAAGACTAAGTCTATATTTCAAAGGTCCGCTTTTATCTGGCACATATAATAGATATCTCTTGATGATCATCGACGAATACTCCCGATTTCCTTTCGCATTCGCCTGTCAAGACATGTCCTCCACAACAGTAATCAAATGCTTCTATCAACTCTTCTCTATCTTCGGAATGCCGAACTACATCCACTCAGACCGCAGCTCCACTTTCCTGTCAGGAGAACTCAGGCACTTCTTGCACTCCAAGAGCGTCGCAACCAGCCGAACTACGGCCCACAGTCCGCAGGCTAATGGTCAAGTGGAACGCCTGAACGGATGATTGTGGCAGGCAAAACACAGACGTTCAACATAACTCAAATATCACACAAAACACTGTTGATACTTTGCAGCTACTACAGCAGCGAGTCCGTCCATACTCGTTGAGACACAGAGAAGTTTTGTTCTGTGTACATTCACACAGCGTTTCTCCACATTCGATCGCTAGCAAACTTGTACACACAAATGTACACACACCTAGGAACCTCGAAACACAATAAACTGTTCTTCCAACCGTAAATTTTTCTCACATTACACGCGATTACTATCATTCAGTTGGTGGAGGTGAATGTCATGTATTGGAAATCCAGTTAATTTTACAATTCTTGTATTATTCGTTGTGTTATGTGCATTCATATCTACCCCCTTTCCTATTGTGGCCATATACTCCATTATTCAGTTCACGAAAGCTTACGATACGGCCTACGTCTTCTGTTGTGCTCAGAGCATTTCATTGATTGATGATCTACTACACTGATGCTGAATGAAACTTATTCTGTAAATATTTATCAATGTAATACATTTTGGATTTACGTTTATTTGTTGTTTTATTTCAATGCCAACTGTGCTAGGTGTTGTGGAATTGCGAGGTAGGTAAAATTAGGATGCGTCTTGCGTTGCGGTTGGGTGGGGGAGGAAGGCAAATGCTACGCAATTGCGATGAAAATGCTTATACCCGGTTAGCAGAAGACAAATAGGTATCCAGCTACTGGGGTGCGACAGTTATTGCGGTGTGATTAAAGCGACTCAGAAAGTGGGCTTTAATTTTGGAATAATTCTCCGAGTATGCGTGACACCCCAAGTTGTTCGTCGAAAAATCTTGGGAGTCACGCAGAGGAGAACACCGAATCTCCGGTGAAATCTCCTGGTTTATTGATGATCGCCCCCTGAGGTTTTCTTGCTTATAACGGGCGTATTATAGAAAAGGGTCTGTTTGATGAAACGCTACCTCTGGAACTGAGCGCCAACCATTAGGCGGCTATTATTCCGGTTTAAACGAGAGGCACCAATGGATGTTCTCGATGAAACGGTGTCAGAGAATCGTCATAGGTTATATCCGCCGATCGACGACAGCACCTGGGTGACTGGGCAACTGATGCCAGCGGTGCACCGATCTTCCTTTTGTTCTATTCTCGAAATGGAAAGCCGAAAGATATCAACCAAAACCGGCGCACGGAGCTGCGTGGTTAAGTTTTGGAAAAGCTGAACCTGAAAACTAAATACATTTATCAAGCTTCATAGATACCTGTTTTTGATCACATAATAAAAAGTGAACAAACCATAGGTTCTGTTCGCCTACCAAGTCTTACCCATTACTTTTTCTTTTTTTTGTGTTATTTCGGATGAATTGCTTGCATGAGTTTGATAATAAATCTGAAAAAAATGACGCAATTGTCCAGGCCTTTTCTTTGTAACCTAAGCATACCATAAATAAATAACTTTTTCCTTTCCTTGTATTCTTTTAGATCAACTGCTATATTCTGGTGAATTATGTCCGGAATCGAGAATAATGATGACGATGATGAAAATGGAGATGTCTGGTGCTTAAGGCAACCCGTAACCCCCCGAACTCCATCCAGTGGGCGTTTGGAACCTCCCACGGAAGTAGATACTAACCGACAAAATGGGGTCCCACAAAATGAGTTGTTGGGTGCACAAGATGCTCGTGTTGACTCACGTCCACACGGCGAGGGTAGTTCTGCCACTCGATCTTTTTCTGTTTTGGCGAGCTTTAGGGATACGCTTTCGTCTGTTTTTCACTCTCCTACTGTCACCTCAAATTCCGACCCCAGTCTTGCTTGTCGAGTGATTTTGTTAGATGGTCGAGTGCTACCCTTTGGTCTCAAGGTATGCTAGTTCGTTCCCATTTTTTCATGTGTTTTGCTCCTATTACCTTACTAAGGTATTTGCATAGAACATTTTAAGTATACTCTGTGATTATTCCCATTATATTCAGAGTTCATCGTGCTATTCATGCCCTGCCTTCATATTTTTACGCACCAGTTGGGCATCGGCTCCCGATTTATTGCAATTTTCAGATACTGCTTGGCTCTGCCTTGTGCGTAAGGCTTGGGTTGAGTGAAAAATCCTTTTGCGGATCCCCCAATCAAGTTGATCTATTGTTTGGCTCAGCTGATAATATTCGGCCCATTTGCAGATCATAAAGTTCCGTCTTTTTATAAAGATGATTCGACCGTGATTTGTTTGACACAATCTGAAATCAAACGCGTGTGAAATATAAAACCGTAATACTAGTTGAGACAAACTCTTCGGGTAAGACCGGGCCTCCTTACTTTCGTGAACCAAATTGAAATACTGTTTGTGCCTGATCAGTCAGTTGGATCAATCCCCTACGGCTAGATTGACTCTACATGCGTGCAAACTCGAAAGTCAACCAAGTTCATTGTTAAGATTCGATTTCAACTTGAGTTACTCGTGTATGCCGTTGTGTACCCGGTTGCCCGATTTCAATGACCCGTTTTAAAACTTCAGTTCTATAATGTGTTTTTAGTACACATACCTATGCGATGAACAGCAGACAGATTCAACCCCATAAGCACGAGGATTTTCTGTGTAATCATGGAGACCGACCTAAGCGCCGGAACCTTGAGTGGTGAATCACATAGGGCCCGACTAGGTTGGGTGTACTTTTAAGTGAGATGACAGCAAGCTGCTTACCACCGAAGTGAGGTGGCAGTTGTAGGGCTGGACCCTCGGATCCTGGGGCCCGAGCCAGGCGAGTGACAGCGACTTAAACCGCTTGACCACCAGCACTAGTCAATTGTAAGGATTAGTCGGCTTAAGAAACACTTTGAATCATAGCTGTTCGGTTACGATCATCCGAAATCAGTTTTTGAGACAACTATTCAGCTTTTGTTCTTATAACGAACTGCAAACCGCGGATTCCCTGTATCTTGACGGCCATTATGCGGTACCACAAAGCTGATTGTCTGTTTTGATTAAACCTAATGTCCACTACCTCAGTATGGTAGGGGGTTGGTGTCTTGAGCTGTGACTGGTGATCCTTCCCTCGCACCTCACAGAAATTCCCCCATACCACCAGGAATCTCAGTGAACCCCTGATCAGGTGGTCCTACTCACTATGGTATAATATACTTAGATCCCCTTTGATATCAGAAGTTCCCCTCGCAGTTCCTTGTAATGCGATCGTACTCCGGGCTGTCACAGCGTAGCGGAGTGAACAGAAATACACAACAGGATGTACCTCGACTCTTATTCCCACAGCTCGAGGCGATACGAGGCTTTGCGGACGACGGACGATGACTGGAGACTGACGGTAGGGTGACGATACGATCGGGACACGGAGTGGCGAGGAAACACTGGTAGACAGTTCCTCCATGGGTCGGGGTTAAAGATAAACCTGCCAGACAAAACCAATAAAACGCAATGAACCATAAGGTACAGTGAGTTGCAAGCACTCACGATAAAATATTACTGATGCGGTTGCCAAACGTTACACCTCAATTTCCTATGTTCTTAGTGATTTCTTCTTCTTCTTCCTCCCCCTCCTTTCTTTCTTTTTCTTTTCTCATACAACCGCATTTGAAAGATGTGTTCAAACAGATTATTAATTGTGCTTAGCGCTTCTTCACACAGCCCTAAATTCTCTTCTCATACAAGGCTCATTTACACCCTACTCTTGAATACTAGAGTTACGTTTTGTGGTCGAGTATCGTTCAATTCCATCTCCCCCTGGTCATGTTCAACGCCGACTTTCTCTATCCAGTCACTAGCCCGCCACCGGGCTGTTGCTTTACTCCACCGTTTTATCGATAATACCATGGTTTATGCTCCCAGGAGCTCGAATTGGGAATACTGACTTTCATTCTGTTCGCATAGGTGAAAAGCCACCTTTGGCAAGTGTCTGGTCCCACTTGTTACATTTATGCCAAGAACCACTTAGCTGTGGAATATACTCTTCTTCTTTATGTTTCTCCTTTCTTAAAATCTTCATACTACAATTTTGTTCCGACATGAGTGTCCTACAATACTCTTCATTTTGTGCAATTGGTCCTTATACTGTAGGATTTACTATAGTTTACGTCCACCATGCAATAAAATCAATGATAGGAGATAGAATTCATAAACAATTTTATTAGCTGGTCGTCTGTTTGGCGCATTACTCAGTCGCACCACAGAAATCGAAAGAATGTGTTTGTGTTATCCTCAATATTACATTTCTTCGATTGAACCTTTGTCCTACCGTAGCACTCGATATAGCTCACTTTAGGGTCAAGCAACCGGTGCCTCAAGTTCATGTTTATACTCAGCGCAACTCGACTAAAGAAAACTGTGTTCGAGGATTGGGCGAGCAAAATCCCGTTGAACCCAGAATTTAATATTCGAACTCACCCCGTTTTTGCGCCACCGCAGGTTACTGAAGTCTAGAAAAGCTCTTCAGGTATTGCCTGTTACAGTATCTACTTTACTCTTAGTTAGAGGGTAGTATTGACCTCAACTGACCGGACAATAAAAAAGCCTACTTCAGCTGTGCTCAAATTCTGTTTTTTTCCTGTGGAACACCAAATTCTCACACAAAAAACGGTACCGCCTTACATGTCGTTGAATATCACTGGCAAGGTTCTGTTAAAAACTTCTTATCTTTCTAGTCTGTGCTCACGGACACAGATCATGGCCTGGTTTGAGCTAGGTCCGGTCCGCACCTGGTAAACAACTGTACTAACCTGTCTTAAATGGATACTAACAGTGAAGTATAAGCAACAGCCGAAAATAGGCTTTTGAGTGAGCGCTCTATCAATGTCTCAAACCAAGAAGCTGAGTAAAGATGCAATTTAAAAGTATTTCAACAGGGTGATGGATTCTGATACACGACGAAAGCACAACCGACGGAATCCCTTTACCTTCGTCGGTCTGTTGGACGATCGTAGAACCATTCCTCCGCATGCTAAATGCGAGAAGTTATCAAATAGTAGCACAACACCATCGGCGAAATAACCCATGGGAATGTTTGATATGACTTGAATATCATGGTACTCGGCGAAGGCTGCAAAATCCATTAGTCGGTGAATCCGAATTAAATGGTAAACGAAGAGTATCCTTAACGACCATCCTTTAACAACTGGAAAGTAACGTACTTTCCATCGACTGATGTTCGATTGGTAAGAACTAAATAGGTTGAGCGGTTTTGATAAAGCTCGGTCGAAATCCTCGAATGGCCCAACCCCGTCCGATCAGCCGAGTTGAATACCGCCCCGCAAGTCCATACGAATAACGACCGTTGACTTATGCAAACTGACTTGTGTATTTCACCATTGTTTGCAGTACAAAGAGCGAGTGGAAGAACAACAACTTGAGTTTATGCTATGTATTTCGGATTATTTCGCTGTATTTGTGTACACGTGCACATTGCAATTAAGTGATTATTGTTAAAAATTACAGAATCTTAGGCCAATAATTGTTGCTAATATGATCATTCGCCAATCCCGTTGGTCATCAAGGTTATACCACAGTAATGGTCCATCCGTAGTTTGGGATGATGTTTTCAATGAATAATACCTCGGAGTATTTCCGAATCTTGGTGTTGGGTTCACTGCATGGGATCCTAAATTCATTACTCAGCATAATTTAGTGCTCCATTTCAACTACATGCAGTGTTAAGCCAGAGTTAAGCCACCGGTGGCCGTCATATTTTTCATGTCTTGCCTGTCTGTTGGTTCTGAGGTTACGATCATTTTATATCATGCTTTTGGAACACGCACTGGCTTCAATTTCCGGATGTTAGCTTTGTATTTTATGGTTTAAGTTCAGTTAAGAATTTGTGAATAGGTTCCTTCTTGTTCATATGTCATTTTCGCATTTTAACCTAAGAGAGTTTCCATATTTGAAGAATGACGGTGGGGAGATCGCATAACTCTGTTTGCTTTATTTGACCAACTTTTGTTCGATATTTTCACCCGTAGAACTTTTTAACGTAACTTCGTGTTTCGACCTCGATAAAAAATCCTGCGTCACTATAATTCAGTTTCCTCAACCTTAATTTTTTTAGCATTTAATTCGTTCATGAGAATAATTAGGCTTCATGGATGGTAAATTCATGAGTAATCTCAGAGATGTATTACTCATATTTTACATATGACTCGCAGTTACTTGTGAGTAGTATTATTCATAAGCATTCACAAATCCGATCGACTTTTTTATTGAAGGATATGCCTTTAGCCCCTGCATAACTAAGAGCTATCTTTGGGGTAATAGAATGGTACCAATGGCCTTGTTTGGTGGTGAACGAAATTTGGACATAAATCGGTGCATTTTGTAGTCACTTGTGACTTATTGCTGAAAGCTTGCTTGCCGTGTGGAAATCCGTCGTGCCCTCGAGCATCACGATGACTGTCAACGACTGTTTATTCGACGAAGCAGTTCCGAGCTATTCCCTTTTAACCATCCAAGTGGCCGTCCTCCTACCCGCGACCTGGAGAGGTGCATAGTCGCGTACAGCTCCACTGATTGTAGACTTGTAGTAGCTCTGTGTAGTTAACATCCTCAAGGCTGTTGTTGGCTCCTCGATCATTTTTTCATCCCCTATGAATTGGTATCCTTTCTGTTTTCTACATAGCCGAACGCAGTCGGTCGGGATCTATTCAGCAAAGTGACATCTTACCTAGCGTTGGAACAAGACGATTTTTTTGGACTGACCTATTCTCTCGCGGATAATCGACTCACAGAACCGGATAAGGACCGCACAACTGGGGTTATCAACGGAACCGCAAATTCCCCAGGTACTTCTGCGCCCGGTGATTCTCAAGCCCCGTGGTCGACATCAGTCCGACCACTCTCCACCACTTTACTTGATTCCGTACCCGATCCCACTTCAATTAGTCGGAGTTCACGTAGACGTCATACACGCACCATGAGTCAATCTTTGCGATTTGGCGAGCTATGGAAACGTAATCATACGTATATGGATGATGTGCTGGTAAGCTGGTGTGTTGCAACGGCGTTCACGTCGGTATCTAGTCTTTCGTTTTGCTTTACTCATTTTATTTTTCTTAAATGATACCACAATCTTATATCCTAGATCTGTTTCTCATGTAACGTAAACTTCCTTGATGGTATGTATAGTTGATTAAATGACGACCAAAACGCCTGTTTATATATTCGTCATCAACTGTATAAATCACTCATGTTAATTTAATTGTCAGCGATAGTCATTTTCATTGGTTTCATGTCATCGGGGATGTTTAACGAAAACCCCAGAAAAGTAACTTGCGGGTACAATCACCGTTTAGCGAGTTGGAAGTTCTCTCTCCTCTCACATTGCATCCACAATACGCAGTCTTATAGTCCTAGTCGCTATCGGTTTTGTATGTGCAGCTGTCTGTCTTCTTTTGACAATTACCGCATCGACCTGAAATAATCATCGATTACGACTTGGGGTCAATGACCACCGGGATCGCGTTATGCCTTGAATCACAGAATCCATTTTCAGCATATGTTCGTTCATCGGGGATATGATCCGCTAGCGTAATTCAGTGTGATTATTTGCTGGTTCTGATCGATGAACGTGATTTAAACTCACCACAAAAAAGAATCTAGTCTCTTTCCTAGTCACGGTACACTTCCATTAGGCTGTGCACCCTGATCGCACAAGCTAGCACTATTCCCCCTCACTGTCTCACGATGAACGATTGCATTGCATATTTCTGTATGTGTACATGTGTGATTGTCCTCCGAATAGGTCATTAGGGCAATGATGACAATTGCGTTTTCCAAATTCATTTTTTGCAAGTACATCCTGATGGACGTAAGTTTGTCGGGCGAAATTAGCTGCTGCATTGGTTCGGAATAATCGATCTGAATGTTATGATCGCCTTGTCCGAACTGTGCTAGTCCATGCTGGGCGATGGAATAGTGACAGCAACGACTATCACCAACACCGTCACGATGGGTTTAATTGTCAGTTGTCTATTCGTATGTGTACTTTTCGGGATTCGAACTAGGAAACTAGAGCCTTGAAGATCTAGTCTTTATCCCCAAGTTCCCTGATCGACGAACAACAACTCACGCATTTAACTTTACGGCTATCTATACAAATGCATGTTCATGGATTTTGGGTTACTAAGACCAGAAATAGCTCCCTGTGGGGCAGAGAACGGTAATTCGAAGTTGTTCCCAAGGTAATCGATTCAAGATACTTTGCTATAGACACTTGCCCTTCTCGTTAAGAGGGCAATAGGTTGAATGTAGTTTTCAAGTCATGTATTGATCGAGATGATCTCGTGGTAACAGTGAGTGAAGGAAGAAAATGTTGCCCATCATCGCCAGGTTTCTGACCCGAAGCGGAATGAAATGTGCAGTCAGCGTGAGAAACCATCGTGCGCGTGTGTTTTCGAGCTGGCCGTATTTTGACAACTGTTGCGCCAAATCCATACATTTGTTTTTGACTTCGAATCGGCCGTGTTGTGGATTGTGCCATTCTGTTTTCTCCTTGTCACGCTACCGCCCATTCTATAAAAGAAAAACAATCGATCAAAGACTCGTGTTTGCACGCCGGGGATTTCGAGTTCCATTTTTCATTCTGGCTTTTGCAGGGAGCTTTTGGAATCTTTGGAGTGCGGTAAAGTGTAATGCATAAACATAATCGTCATCAGGGTTCCAACCGTTGTTGTCTTTCCTATTTTAGTCTTTGTTTCACAAACCTCAGCGACCTGTTCAGCCGTCGGTACCGCTCGTCAGGTATGCGTATCCGGCATACTTCTGTCGGAGAGTATTCACATAACTTGACGCCGGATGTGCATGTTAGTCATAAATTCCTAATTTGCTTCTGAAGGCATGAGGATGGATCTTCTCTCGATTTGAAGTGGTATCGTATGTTCGTTTGGAGAAACGCTGATGTATATTTACTTAAGTGTAACAGAGCTGTATATATATATATACAGCTCTGTAACCTGGAAGTTTCTGAAGAAAATACACATTCCAGGCACAAGTATATGAATGACCTGACAAAAGACTACCGGATAAGTTTATCTGACGAGTGGCAACAACCACGAAAACTTTTGCACGCTTTCAGGTAAATGTTTTCGAGCTGTTAGAATGCTGCTTACTGTGGTTTGTTACATCTACATGCATATTATTGTATTGGTTGGCGATTTAAGAAAGGTGAAACACAGGTACACAGGTATTCTGGACTTTCGATGAACTACACTTACAATCGATCGTCAGAACGTTGCAGTCATGTGGGAAGCCTGCTGTATGAAAAATGTGATTCACGTGAGCTGGAGATGGTGTTTAGCCACCGGAACACAAACGGAAATCGCTTTTCATACTGTGAATAAAGTTGACACGAAGTGTTATATACATCTGATACAAACGCAACTACTCGACCGTGATATCATGCATGCTTAATGGCTGCAAATGCTCGGAAGCTTCTCGAACACGATTTTCGTCAGTAAGGGTAAACAGAAAACGCATTATAACAGTTTTGGGCTGAAGGCTATTTTTCGATAAATCAGCTGTTCTGCAGTGGCATATTTTGTGCTTGCTGATTTTAACTCTTATTTATATCATTTTCAGTTCAAACGACCATTAACTTTGCTCTTCCGTGCGGCTGTTTTGGGTATACAGTCAAATGAAAAAAAGAGCCAAGATTGAAATGTTAAATG